AGGCAGAATAAACATAAAAATTCTTATTTTGGATTAGGAATATCACAAATGGATGCATCATTAATTAATATTGGCACTTTACAATAAAAAAAATTCATAATTTTCTGCTATCTTACCGAACACATCTTTAGAACTGCAGATTGACATCCCTGCTCTTTCAAAAGAATTGTCAGCACAACAACACCGGCAGCTTCTTCTATTTCTATGGAAAAATGAAAGAATGTATTAAAATTAAGTGTGAACTACAAGTTCCTTTTTTGTATAGACATAATATTGTAACATACACATTAACAGGTAAAATGCCATGAAACTGTTATAGAACCCCTCCATAATTATTATCCCTATAACACACACACACCCCCACCTAATGGAATAGTGGAAGTTTCAAGATTACCTGACTTTTTCTCTGGATCTTGCTGAACCAGATCCTTTGCTTTGTCCAGGATTAATTTTGTTGTGAAGTTTTTCTCGGCCAGTTTTAACAACCTGGGTAGCAAAGCTATCAAGCTGTCTACCATTGTTTTGGTAACATTTCTTTTCTCCAGTGATTCGAGCCAGCTCTGCCTTCATCTATTGAGGTGCAAAAAGGAATACTGTTAAATGAGAATAACACACAATGTTCTTTTTTCATTTCATAGTATACAAGCTATGCATGACAGCCTATAGAAATACACTTTCCATAGTATAAAATATATATCACCGTTCACCACATAATGTGTGATCACTAGAGAAGTGAACACAACAAACTTTCTGTGACTTCCTAGAGGTTCACAGAAATGGAATATCATAATCCAATGACATACCTCCGAGACAAATTGAAGGGCTGGATACTGGTTAAGGAAGTCTTCCACCAAGACTCCTGTCTCCATTAGTTCTTGGCGCTTGTACGGAAAAGTAATGTCCATCAGCTCCTTTATAAGAGCTTGGCTCTTATTCGATGTTTTCTGCATCTCCTTTTTAAGAGTTTTAATATGTTCTTTGCATGTCTCCTCAGTTTCGCCCTCCAGCAGATCTGGTACACCCTGTACTTTCCTCCTCTTTATTTGGGGCCCCTTGGGATCGGTCACACTTGCAGCCCTTTGTGGATCATGTTTAGTCTTTCTCAAGTTCTTGAACCTATGTTTTATCGCTGTCTGCCATGATCCCTGAGGTCAAAATACAATAATTGTTTACATAAATAAGGATGTGGTATATATTTCGTATGTTTTGAAACAAGCACATTACTTTTCAGGATGGTAATTTTTCTATATTCTACAATGTTAGGCTTAATAGGGCTCGAAACATTTTTATAAACTCAACATTTTAGTTACAAAATCGTAATTTTGGTCACCAATACTTCATTTTTTAGTCACATTGGCGACCAGTGAGATGTAATTTCGAGCCCTCCTTTAATAACTGCCACTTTTAAATTATTGATAAAGAAGTTTTATATTTAAAAGTAGAACCACAATAGGGGTGTAGATTGCATGTACAAGTATGTGCACCTGACTATGCTTTTGGGGTTATTTCAACAATTATACCAAAACATTGTCAAGTTCATTATTGATACTTACAATGCCTGTTCCTATCGTGTCTGCCAAGAAAGGAAACTTCTTTATTACCATAAAGGCAACATATTCCCTTTCCATCTTCGAAGGATTTTGGGTATATACCCGTATCGCCGAACATACATCCCTTGTAAATTCATTTCGTATGCTTCCAGGCAGATTTCCTGCTTTCAGTGCCTGAGTGACTGATGGAGAATACTGGAAAGAATAAAAACAAAGAACAAAAATAAGAACTACTTCAAGAACTACACATACATGAACACAGATATCAACAACAGATACTACTGCAGAATACCTTTGGCTGGAATATACTACTGTAATATACTACTGCATGCACACTGCTTAATTTAATTAATGGCATTTAAAAATAACTATCAATTCACAACTTACAGAGCCTGGTAGTTGGAATTCATTCAACCAGTTTTGCCTTGAAACCGAATTTTCACGACTTGAAACCGAATTTTCACGACTTGAAAAGGGAATTGGAGATGATGTGGGTTTGTCAGGTGTGGAAGCAGCTAAAGGTGATGCAAGGGCAGATGAGGGTGTTGATGACGAAGCACAAGTTGACAATGACGATGACGATGATCATCACCAATGCACATGAGGTTTCCTACATAGAAGAGAAATGGAGTTTTGTTTGCATGCACATAATACAAAATTATACTATTAGCAATATTTATTATCTCGTTATGTTTAGAAAAAGCTCAATGTTTAGCTGAGTTATTTGGGTCTCACAACATGTCAAATTATTTATGATCACAAAAATTCCTAAAAATTTTAACTTTTTGTAAATGCAGCAAACAGTTCTGATAACTCATTAAAGTGGATTTTTTTGTAATTACTTACTACATTTACAAGATAAGAATAAATAAGTATTGATTTTACAAATAATTGTTACCTCTAAAGTATAGCTAGAGCTTGTTATATGCTTCTATCCCCTTTCGAATCCTCACGATTTGACCTCCCTTGATCCCGCAGGCTTTCAATAATTCATCACTTGTGTCGATAATGATTTCCATTGTATCCAGCTTAAGGCAAGGGAATTAATATGTTAAAATTTTGTTATGAAAACTGAAATATGATTTTCTGTTTCAGAATATAATTTTTTTAGTATACTGCAAATATTGAGTTCCGTAAGGAGCAAATCATTTAATTTTTTACGGTGTATTTGAAAAAGGAATATTTTGCAAGCTGGGTTTGGATGACTTAATTAAATACATTGACTTAAGTGAATTTCAGTGAAAAGTAAGATATCACAGCAGGAACTATCAGAGCCAATAAATCAATAGTTTGGGCTACCTGTGATCTCTCGCGGTATCACGATTGTGGAATGTACTAAGAAAGTTAATCCAACACGTGTCGCCATTGCATGCCAGTTTCGTGTTATCCTAACCTACATCCTAACCTTTGATCCAACACGCCACTGCATCAAGGCAGAACCTAACCAAAGGTTTTAACCTCACCTACATGCACTAAAATTCCCTTTGAAATATTGTGATCTATTCGGCACGTTGCGTGGCAATCCCGAGTTATGCTCGTGTTAGCGCTGGACCGGTCGAGGAGCCACAGCTTATATATAAACATATTGGACATATTTCTTCAAAATTTTGACAGATTTAAAAGCACAGTGTACGTCCCTACAACAGTACTAGTATTATATTATATCTGTACTATATCGCTGCTCGATATTTGATGGGAAAATCATATAAATCTATAGCTACACGCTGTACAGTGCAGGGACCAGACACTAAAAATTTCGCGACCAGAGTATGAAAACAGTAATAATATTTTGAACTTTGAGGTCATCATATATCAAAATATTGACTATATTTCTACTTTATACATAGTTATAATAGATGAACAGGTTGCTACTATAATACTAGGGTTCTGGACAGAGTTAGCTAGATTTCCATGCTGAATTCTTAGATAAATCCATATATCTGTGCTGTTATAATTCATTGAAATATAACGGGAAGCTGTCAGTGGTCCGCTAGCATGAACAAAATTGATATTTACTGAGTTTTCAGATAAGGATTTCTCAATGTGCAGTGCTACATAGATTTTTTACAATATTTATACACGTATATATGTAGCTCATAATTTGGGGTAGACCAAATAATTCTGTCCCAGATAACGTTTTATATTTTGGATGCGTTATACTGGACACTATATAACGCATCCAAAATATAAAACGTTATTTGGGACAGAATTATTCGGTCTAAATTTGGGGAGTAGAACTGTGTAAACATATTTTATTCTACGTCAGAGTAATTTAGGCTCATAGGGCCTATGTCCCCCAGGGTACTGCTGGAACGTACCCTGGGTACGGTCCGGTATACCGGAACGTACCCTGGTAACTATCTAGCTGATATGGTTAGGGTTAGGGTTAGGGTTAGGGTTAGGGTTAGGGTTAAAGTTAGGGTTAGGGTTAGGGTTAGAGTTAGGGTTGGGGTTAGGGTTAGGGAGTAGGCGTAGGCGACTCCCTAGACTCGTTAGTGGAGTAGGCGAGGTACGGTCCGGCATATTAGTAGGGGTGAGTATTGCGACCAAAAACCGTATTGCAATATATTGCAATACGTCCCCGGTAAACCGATTACCCGGTAGTTACTTATATTGTCTTAGCTAAACACATGCCGGGAAACACTTTATCGTAATCTACTGTTACCTGGCTGAGTCGCAAAAACAACATGGATCCCTCGCAGTAGCGTACAATGGCGAGATAGGCGGAAAACGCTAGTCGTCATGCAACATTCTATCATAGCAACCGGGCTGTACCTGTACAGAGAGCAGCTCCCCGTGACGAGTCGTTGCCTGACCTACACGCTAGCGTAGACGTAGGGCCTACATCTATAATCGATTCACTCGTACGCAGTCATGTCGCATGCGATCTAGATTCATTGAAAGGGCCAGGGCCGTTGTCAGAAATGTTTAAATCGTACGGTCCTTATTGGTCCTAATTGTTAGTCGTAAGTTTTATAGCATTAGCTATATACAATATAATCATATATTTGCAGGAATTAACAGATATAGCTTTCGGTAGATGGGGAGGGGGGGGGTAATATATGAGTGAATGCGTGCTGAAGGCGCGCGGTGCTAGGCCCGCTAGGGTGGTCGGGGCATGCGCCTATAGGGTGGTCGGGGCGTCCGGGGCATGCCCCACACCCATGCACCTGGAAAATTCAGGCAGCTGTGTGCCTTTATTCATGATTCAGACCTTATTTACCCATTTTACTAGTATCATAACATCAGGAGTTAATAAAGACAAATTTGTCTTTATTATAACCCTGATAAGTGATAACATATTAGTCAGTGGGTGAACGGGGGGGGGGGGATTGCACCCCTCAACCTAGATCCGCCGATCCGCTGAGAAGAGTTCTGCCCCCAAATGCGTCGGCGTTGCCGCGAAGCAAAACGGCCGCAGCGTGGAAAGACCAGCAGTCAGAGCAGCAGCAGCTGCAGCAGCAGCATCGTCATGATGAGTCTTGAGGTACCACGGTGCCAAATCGACCAATCACCGCTGGGATAGGTTAGAGAATGAGTTCCTTTGTGAGTGTCTGCATACGCCCCTAGATATTTTTATTTTCTTATTAGAAAAGATTATAACTGTTTGCAATTGTTAATTTCAGAAACTAGAATCTATTCTGAATCCGACAATGTAAACGGCTCGTCCGAGGTGCGTTTCTGGGCCGGCCCATAAATTTCCAAGA